TTCCTTTCGGTTTGTTTAGATTGACTACGTGCTGACAATTCTTTTTGTTAAAATATGTGTTTCAACTATTCATTAGTAAAACAACGTTTGCCTTTTAAATTAAATTCAAAATTTGCCCTTTGTCTTGTTTTATTTACGCTTAACAAACTCTTCAAAAAAAAAAAACTTGTCTGGATGAATAATTGAAGTCTTTGGAACTTTATTTGTTTAAGATTTGAACTCAATAATTGGACATAATTCAGTCAAATCGACGCCATCAACTTGAATTATGTACACTTTTGGATAAGAAGTGGCCACTTGTTAAATGTTAACAATTTTGTTTGAAATAAACACATATTTTATTTTAAACTATTTTTTATTCTTAATATAATTCGAAGAAGACGTCAACTTCAATTATCATCTTTTTATTTTTTATTATTAATTTTCTTTTTTTTTCATTAAGAAACTAAATGGATTAGTTCCTCAAAATAATATCTAATTCAATGATTGAATTAAGAGCATTAGACTGGTTCAAAAAATTTGAAGTGTAATGGGGGATATTGGTCAATAAATGGTAGACTTCTCCATCGCTCTCTCAGCAAAAAGTTATTGCATGCAGTTGTTAGACTCTCACCTCATCGATAATCCACGCCCCAATGCAAACGCAGCTTGGCTCTTACAAAAAATAATTTGAAACTCTTAAGTCAACTTTCTGTATAATTTAAATTAATTAAGGACGTAATGGTGACTCGTCGACGGCTATAGTGTGAACTAACTTTCTCGTAAATTTTGTTTTATCGTATTCAATTTACATGCTTCTAGTAAATACGTGTAAGATGGAGATAATGGTGTGGGCTCCCTTGAAAAGGGTAGGCTTCGTCATGGATTAAATCGTTTTCTTCGCATAAATTGGGACAACCCTTGTTTTTCTTTGAATATCGAAGATAACAAAGGCATTTCCACCTTCTCTGTTGGAAGTTTGGTGTGGTGTGCCCATTAATCTTTATTCTTTTTCTGTTTCGTCCCACTTTACATTTTTCTGCATAAATTCTAAGCGATTGCGTTTAAGCACCAAATCACAATCAAGAAAACTAAGAAAGACGTTGAGTTCTTGCACTTTTGATGTATGGTTGATCCTGCACAATGAGCTGTAGGGGGGTATCTGGTTCAATATACTTTATTGCTGCAGGTAATAGTTGACATAAAAGTGTAGTTAAGCATGAAGCATTTTTTTTTGGGAAAAGACTAAACAAAAGAAAAGATAAAGGAAATAAGAGCATATCATAAAGAGCATAATTGAATTGAATCGGTTCTTCCTAGACAAGGAAAGAAGCCAGGCGTTTGATCAGTTTCTTAGCTTTCTCAGACTCATAATTTATAATCTGAAAAGCATGATCTTCTCTTTCAACTTGGACCAACTCCAATTCTCCTTTCCACCCACTTTCCTTGACTGCATTATAGTATAAAATCCCTCTATCCCTCAGCGCATCCTTTTCAGCAACACTAACAAGCAACCTGGAACATCCAAGTCCTGCCAAGCTGGGAGCCCCTGGACTCACGGGGTTGATCATCGGATTATCAATGCCTCCAGGAGCCTCTGGGTAAACCAAGTGCCATATGGTGTACATGACGCTCTTCTCTCGTTCTTCAATACTCTTAGGCTCAAAACCAACCGGCTTTGAACCCCAGAAATAAGGGTGTGTTACAAAAGCTCCTGTTATTTTAACACCACCATTCAAGGCCGCTGAGCCAGCCCTCATCAGTATATTGTGAGCAAGGTTAGCTCCGGCGCTGTCACCAGCAACATAAACTCGACCAAAATCAACATAGGTGGATAACCAAGGTTCCTTGTTATCTACCACACAATCAACAGAATGAGAAACAACCCATTGTAGACCAGCCCAGCAGTCGTCATAAGCAATGGGGAGAGGATGTTCAGGGGCTAGCCTGTACTCGATCGAAATAATGACTACTTTGGCATGATAGGCTAAGCTGTTCATGTACTTGGTTTCAACAAACGAGAAAGCGGACTCAAAGCAAAAGCCTCCACCATGGAAGTAGACTAAGAGGGGAACGTTTTGGTGTTGTTCAACCTGCTTTGGTAGGTAAATCCTAGCTGAGATAGGAGGGTTGTCTGAAATAGTGATGTCTTTTGATGAGACTTCAGTCTCCGGGTCTTCGGCTGATGGTGGCACGTTGGGAGAGCCAGCCAGTCGCTCAACCGAACCAGCTTTATAAACCCGGATGAAAGGGAGAATCTCAGTGGCGACTTCCTTGTCGAGGGAATCCATATAGAAAGTGAGGTTTGAAGTGGTTAAAGGTGGGAACCAAGGCCAATAAAAGAGAAAAATTTTGCAAATTTTTTGTGAATGGTTTTGGTGGAATGAAAGAACCCTCATCGTGGTAGACAATTTATACAGCATGTGGAAAAACAGCTTGCTAAGCAAGTTGCATTCTAACATTTGACTCATGGTACATGATTTTCTTGTTTACAAAACAGGATTAGACTCCTCCCTTTTTCAATTATATAACAAAAAAAAAAAAAGCAAGCCAAACTTGACCTTTGAATAAATCTACGCCATCGATCTCTTGTGAAGATAAGTTTTAGCCATTTATGCCTATAGAATGTTTAATCAATATCTATCCCAACCTTATCGATGGAAACCTATCCCTAGAACAAAGCTTGTCGGTAACATAATAAGTTCCCAATAATATTTCAACTTTAGCTAATGTAGACCCACTTGTCCTTGGATCATGTCCATATATTTTTGGCACTACAGTGGTCCATGATTTGGTACCAAGTGTAATGATACATTGGAACTATTAATTTGCCACCAATCAGGGCACTAAAACTGAAAAGTTTGGTTTACATTAGACACCTTGTTTACTTAAATTTTATATTTTACTAAACTCTATATACTTTAAAAGATTAATATTAAGACACTATTCCTCTAATAAATAACTTGATTGGGTTTGAAATTGATTAAACATAATTTTGATTTGGATTTGGGCACATAGAAGGTGGCTTAGTGGCATAAAAGAAAATTAAAAGAGAAAAGAAAATTAATTCTAGAGTTAGCATGAATTTCAAACTAATGTGTATTTGCTTTCCAACCTTGAGATTTCAGCTTAGTAAAATAAATCATCTTAATTACTTTGAAAAAGTTTTTAATATGGAAGAATACGTGGGAGCAAATCAAGTAATAGAGTTGAAGTAATTCGTTATCTTCTTTACATAAAAGTGGGGCCTCCAAGGTACTAATTTTAATTTAAGGAGTATTTAAATCAATCACTTTTAATATTTTGAGGGTTGGTTATTTACTAATATTATACGTATTAATAAAATAATTAAAAGTAATGAGAAATTTAATTGACACATGAAAGACAACTTAAACTATGACGTTGGAAAACGAGACATAATATGAACCACTACAACAAATTGTAAAACAATACTTCAAAATCAAATTTTAGTCACAAATGATGACTCCAAAATCTAATCTTCTAGCGAGTGGCAGAGGGAATGAGAGCTAGTAAAGGCTTTATCTCCTTAAAAGTTTTAAATTTTATAATTTTTTTTTGTTCAAAATTTTATAGTTTTACCTTTGTAAATTTTGAATTTCTAATATAATTTTTTTATAAATAATGTTTTTGCCTCCAAACGTGAAATTCTGTTTATGTCAACACTAACGCACTAATTCTAAATTTTCACTAAGTACCAAAAAAATCTTTTCCCGCTTCATAATGTAGTGCCATATTACTAAAAGTCCACACAAAAAAAAATTATAATTAATAAAAATTAAAATTTTTTAATGATAAAAGTAAAAATTATTGTTTTGATAAACTTTGAGGGATATTTAAGTTAATGGCTTTTATTAGCATTTATTAGGTTGGCACTTATTTGCCAAACTATAGGTATAAAAAGCAATTAGACAAAAAATTTGACACATGTAAAGCAGTTTAGAAAAATAAAAAAGTAATTATAAATAAAAAATTTAATTTGAAATAGGAAAGACCAATTATATTATTATTTAATAAATCTAAATTTAGTAAGAGCTTTAAATTAATGTGCATTTATTCTAAACCTTGAAATTCAAATCAAGTAACACAATTATATCTCATTTTCTAGACGGATCGTGATCAACATAAGAATCTATATGGTATGACCCACTAAATCCAAATAAGCCTAATTTAATAATGTGTGGACTAATTATCCATCACATTCACATATTAATTCATCATCAATTATAAATATGCATTTAATTCATTAATATTATCATATTTTAAAACTTCTCAACATAAAGTGTGATTTCTACCACGTTTTATTCAAGTATTTACATAATAAAATCAATTATAATTCGACACGTATTCTACGCCTTTATTGCTTTTATTAGCATTTATTAGGTTGGCACTTATTTGCCAAGCTCTAAGTATAAAAAGTAATTAGACCTAATGGAAATTTTAATAGACACATGAAATGCAGTTTAGAAACATAAAAAAGTAATTATAACTAGTAAAAAATTTGACACATGAAAGACAGCTTATATTTCTATTTAATCTAAATTTAGTAAAAATTCTAAATTAATGTGCATTTACTCCTAACCTTGAAATTACAACTAAGAAACAAATCATCCTACTACGAGAAATTTCTGAGACCACTACATGAATAAAGAAATACATGAAAGCAAATCAAACAATAGAGCTGGAGTGATTCATTATCTTCTCTGTATAAAATATAAAAGTGCCATTTCCAACATAGGACAATTCTAATTAGATTCCGTACCAAATTTTTTTTTTACAATTTTTATAATAGTTATTGTGTTTTAATAGGAGTCTGACCAAAAGCAACCTAAAGGATTGAATCAATGCATTAATTTTAGTATAAAGAGTCTAGAAAAAAGAAAAATTAAACTTTTTCTATAATAAGGTAAGATTATTAATTTAATTAACATTTAAAGTATTTAAATCAATCACTTTTCATACCAAAGTTCGGAAATTAAATGAAGATAAACTAGTGGTCGTACTTGTATGGAAGCACTACTAGATTCATTGGTCTTTTCAAGTATTCTTCAACTTTTACACAGGAAAATCAAGCATTCACCAAGAAACTTGCAACTGCTCATTTGAACAAGCATTTTCTTAGGCCAAAAAATTTAAAAAAAAAAAAAAACAAAGAAGAAGAAGCATTTTCAATGAATGCCAACTCTGTAAATAGTTGGAATACATTTAAATCTAATAACCAACACAGTCCACGAAGATCAATGTGGAGACCAAAAGACAATGAATTAAAGAAGAAACCTTATAGCTTTTTCTACAAGCATCGGTAACTCTGGCATCAGTAATGATTATGAACCACGCTACAAAGAACCAATTAGAACCTTCCATCGGCTCCACAACATCAAAGAAGATCTGCTACTTTCTGTACAACGTATCTAGTTAGAGATCAGGAGTTAAAAACCAGCCTTCTATAGCCGAAGGTTATGTGGGTTAGGTCTTGTAAGTGCTTTCGCAAAGTAATTGCGGATCTCCGGAATTATGCGCTGGATTAGATGCAAGTGCCTGCAGTTACACACCATGTGCACAAATTTTTCAGCTGCTGAGATAAATTTTAATCCTGCAACTAATATTAGCGAAGACGAAAGCAAGCTACATCATGAAAATCCTGCAGACAAGCAGGAAGAAGAAAACAAGCTACATCATGAAAATACCGCAGACAAGCAGGTACACAACCACCCAAAATGGGCATTGGAATATACCATAAATAATACTTTGTGATGTTTGACATACTGTTAAATTCCTAAAGAAAAGCCGAGATGTGGAAGTTGATTCCAGTACATACCCAGGTCTTGTGCTCAATCTATCAAAATTCTCCAAGATGAACAAAATGCAAGTGTGCCTCAATGATATAGCATGGAAGGCTTCTGAGAGTTCATACATGCTTGAAACATTTTCCAGCGATATATCCTTGAATGAAAACAGAAAAAAGCATCAGATGTCAAGTTTCAATTTTAAAGCAGCAAAAGGATTCAAAGATCTCCAGACAACCCTTTTGGCTTACCTGTGCAATGGTATACTCGCAGAGTCGCTTAAGTCCCTCCAAAAGATATTGATCAGCTGCTCTGAGCAGATCTTGAGCAATATCCAATGTAACATCTACTGATCCAGTGTATATAAATCTGTACAAGAATGAAATCACGTAAATTATTGATGCTCGAAAAGGAAGGGACTGTGGGGAAGGGATTGACAAAGAATTTGTAATACCTCATCATCAACTCAAAAACCTCCCATCTAATGTTTGGAATTTCAATATCCCTTGCATCTTTTTCCTGCAGAACATGCCAAGAAGACTTTAAGCATGAATGTCATGTAGATACAAAACATTGTTTCCATCCTGTAGGGAGTGCTATAGGTTTAAGATTAAGCTAAACTAAAAATAAGAGTACTAGCTACTTTCAAAAAGAATAAAATAAGGCTTACAGTTACAAGTGAAAAGCCTAAGTTTGCAAAAATAGATCAGTTTAGTGCATTTCCAAGATCATCAGAAATAAAGGATTATATCTCATATAAGCTGGAAGACAAAGCATAAAATGTAGACTCTCCCCGTTGTTGGAAAGATACTTGAATAATAACTCCCATCCCAACACCCAGAGCGAAGGGAATTCTTGGCCACTCTTGGGAAGAGAAGGAATGACCAACTGAGACATTAAAATGCTGCAAAAGTGAACTCACCCGATAACCACCATCAAACATAGCACGAAATGCATCTGAAGAAGCAAGCAGGCAGATTCTGTGAGCATAGAACCGTCTACCTGCAAGAGAAAAGTAAGACAGGGTCTTAACTACAACAAAATCTATATTTTGACCCTCACCAAATGTTTCTCCATATCAAGTATTAGAGCTTTAAGTAAGCAGATCATATAACAACCTTCAACTAGGAACGTAACATCAGATAATGTAGCATTGTTCACATATTGCTCCCCCAAATAGACCTGCATTAAAGTTGTATGTTATAAGATGCACTTAAAATAGAACTTTCAAAAGTATAAACTATTCTCATACCTCATAACCGGTTATGAGAATGCTATAATCTACTCATGCAATTTGAAATGATTATATGAACACACATCCGTACATATATCAGACTCTGGAGCAAAAATAACAATATCTGTAAATAAGTTCTCATAATCCAGATTGTCGGTTTTTCATTTGGTTCCTGAATACATTTGGAAAAGCATAACAGCAAGAAGAAAGAGAGTTGACAATCCCACAATTTCCTTGTTCTTTCGATCGATCCGTCCAAAACTGGAAAAGTACTTGCTTTTATTTTGACAAAAGTTCTTTTTCCTTTCTTTTGGTTTAGAAATTTGTCCTAATTACCAAATCAGTTCCTATTTCAAGGTCTTCAAATTAAACACATACTTCAATAAGATATACTACCGAGGGAGATGAATGTAATTACAATTAAAAAAAATGAAAAGATATATATTTTAATATATGCCCTAAAGTTGGCCAAATAATGCAAACTATGCATTAACTTTCCTATATTTGGTATCCAAACAGTTCGCATGTGATTTTGACATCTTTATTTTTGTTGTTCATCGACTTGCACTTCCCATTACCAAAGTGTGTTCTGCAAACATAATAATCCGAACATGTTCCATAAGATAGGAATTTATAGCTGTTCAGTTTTTCACAAATTTCTATTCCACTGACTAAATAGCAAAATAACCAAAGGATCCTGTAACTTCATGATAGGAAATCTTCCATTAAGGTCCCCTATTGACTGCAATGAGGTATTCTCCTATAGCAGATACTTTGTGAAATCTCCATCATTCTCAAATATTTGGTTGGGTGCAACAGCCATCCAGTCAGCCTAGTTCTATACCACTGTCAACTTCACATTATGATATGAAATCAAACATGGTCATAGATCTAGCCTTACCATAATCATGGAACAGGATAAAACAATACACAAACATGATATATCAATTCAAATTTAGAATTTCAGGCACTGGAAAGGAATGGAATTAGACTAACCAGCTTGTTACAAACTCACCTGTGGTGTTGGAGAAGGGGGAGCTGCATCCATAGGAGAAAGACTCATAGCTTTGTTGGCCAACTTGTACAGAGCAACAGCACCATCAAGTTGCTGCTTAGGACTTGTAGAACCAAGAAGCCCAAGAAGCAGCTCAAGTCCTGCAAGAAAATACAGCACAATCAGCCTCTCAAAGCAGCCCAAACAAGTGTGCTCCACTCATGCAATACCCTAATTTAAATTGCATGGAATTAAGAATATGACTGATTTTTGGGATAACTGAAGAAGGGTAGAAGAATATGGACCATTGTTATCAATGAATATAGTTCTCTGATCCTCTGGGGAACAAAGATGAGCGAGAGCCAAAGCCACACGTCGTTGGACTGGCTTCTCAGCTACTCGCATCAGATACAGCAAATGGTTCAAAACCTACAAAAGGTAATTAAAACCAAAATCTCAGAAATTATACACACAAATTTAATGAGACCTACTCCTTCAAGAGCACTGAAGAGATAGTTCTTTCTGCAGTCCGAACAGCAAAATATGATAAATAAATATATAACAGTAAAGGGTAGTTAATAAGAACGAAAATGCTTACTCGCCCATGAATCTTCTCCTCTAGTCTTTTCAGTGTCTTGGCTACACAGTCTTTTGTTGCCTGAAAGCACCATTACCAATATTAAATCAGTTGAGGAGAAAATATAACATACAACAGGAGCTGGTAAACTTTTGAGGTTCTTATGCATATCATGCCGCAATAAAGAAACTAGTAGCATGAAAACTAAGAGGAGAGCAAGAAGTAAAATCTGAAAGGATTAACATACTTGAACAATAAACTCTCCATCTTGCAGCCGTTGGATCCCACCCACCATAATAAAATCAGATACGTTATCCTATTGGAGAGAAGAGTATATTAACACCATGTTACAGGACAACAAAATATAAATTCAAGCACTTTCCCAGGTTCACAATGATCACATGCTACCATACCTCATTATCTGCAAGACCATAAAGAGCAAATGCAGCATTGTGTTGCAAAGACCCATTCTTTGAATCTAGAAGCTTCAACAAAGGCACCAAACCACCATTATGTGCAATACCAGCTTGGTTGTGTGTGTCCTGAAATCAGAATTACCTTTCAGTGACATAGAACTATCTACTAGTTCCAGCACATGAAGACAGGAAACTTAGTTGAGAGCATCAAGTTTCACAGCAACATAAGACAACAATTACT